GGGGATGAGTGTCGTTTTCTGAGACTGTGCACCGGGTTAGTGAATGTGTGAGGCCTGGCTATACTGTAGATACAAACCGGGGCTGTTTATTTATTCAACTGCAGATGGTGGAAGAGTCAAACTTTAAGCAGAGCGAGACATTTATTTCGACAAAGACCAGGAATACTGTCGCATTAAACAAATGCAAGTGGAATTCAAAAATTTGATTTTTTTTTTTTGTTGGCAATAGAAATGAACTTTACAGCTCCTGTAACTCGTTATTGTCTATGAACAACAAAATAAACTACGTAGATACCATGACAACCGATCCTCTTTTTCCGGCCCTGATGTGAAAATGACTTCTGCATGCAAGTCCGCTACTCAAAGATGATCAGATATTTCAATATGCAGTGGGGTAACCCCCAGCACTCCCCACTATGGAAGTAACACTTCTGTGTCTGAATGCGTCGCCCTTTTTCGGGCACCCTGCAACTCTGGTTGGGTGCTGCCAAAATGCGCACCTTCTTGACAATGGAAAACGCTCGGGGTTAGAAGTGAACAAAACTGTGCTGACTAAACAGTTTTCGAGTTGTGATGACACATTCTTCAAGTGTGACTCAAACTACCCATACAAGGCACAACTTCTCACAAAGAGGCCAAGGCACCGCATGGGAAAGCCACACGAGGTCTCAAAAAGAGTGTTTCTTTCCGCCGATGTGCACGTTGGGTACGTGATGCCCCGCTCAGCTCTGTCGTGTGTTATGAGCGGCAGCCGGCGTGGGCGAGGACCGCCTGATAGGATTCCGCAGCTGTTTTGAGGGCGGCTCGGAGCATGCGTCACGCACCGGAGGGAGCGCCGTCACCGACTCGCACGTTCCAGAACTTTCTGGATCTTTTCTCTCAAAGAGGGCGGCGCTAGCAATGTGATGTTCAAAGATGGCACTGTGATTGAGGCCTTTGATTGAAAGAAAGGAAAAAAAAAGTCTTATCTCCATAAACGATAAGCTCAGCATTCACCGTCTATCAGTCTTTGACGTTCTTATATAGACGTACTTGGCAGGCAGACCGAATTCCAGGGAACACAAGGCAGATCTAAGAGTGCGCAGCCCTCCATCTAATCATCAAATCGTTATACGGGCGAAGACCTTGAATAAGGCCAGCGGGATTGTTTGATAAAGCTGAAGAGAAAATTGATCTTCTCTGATCTGATATCCCTTTCAATAATCTCCATCGCCTCCATTTTGTATGTTGACAGCACGTTCGTACAAGACGGTGAAAGTCAAATACAACGGACCTGCGAACACTCAGACGGTCCCTCGCCGCGTGTCCGTTTCAGCCCGGCTAAAAATAATCACGGGCGAGTTAAACATTCACTCAGGGCATCGCGTATCATGTGGAGTTCATCTCGACGCCGATATGTCCGTCCACTTTAGGGTAACGTGTGCCGAGTGGCCGTCACAAATAAAAGTGGGAGAAGTGCACGATGTAATAGTCATCAAATCTCTCATATTCATGTCTCGGTGTGTGTGGGGGTAACTCATAACGTAGTCGCATGGCACTGAAACTTTACCCTTCCACGTCCTTGATCATCCAATCACAAACCCAATAATGGTTGTGTTTATGAATGACATGGTAGCATAATAGAAGTCCGAAAATCATTTTCTCCCCAGGCCCCCCCCAAAATAAATTCTATTTATAGAGTGTGTATTATGTATTTAAATATAATGTCTCTTTAATTAAGATAACGAACAGGTAATGTCGGTGTAATCACGTCAAATTAGGCGTTGGCGAGGTGGAAGTTCGGCCGAGGAACAATTCATTCACCCAATTGCAAATGGCGGAAGCAGCCATGTTTTCGGAATGAATGAAAAGAGACAATTATAAAAAATATTTAAAAAAATTTGTGGCAAATGGACCTTTTAAGTAACAATCTGATATCCCACGCATTACATTTATTTTTAGACACAAACGGGTGAGTATAACTTGGTTTTGGGGCTGGAACATATTAATTGCTTTTCCATTCATTTCAACAGGAAACATGACCTCAATTTCTGGCCGTTTCGAGTTACAAACGGGTTCACGGAGCCAATTCAGAGTTGAAATAATTTGGGTCTTGGTCAACAAAAATGTTATCAATTCCGATCTGAGTTTCACCAACACGTGTTGGGAATATCAGAAATCACCTTATAGACCGGGCCAGGCATGATGAAGGTTCCGCACGCAGTGACCATATACTATAGTTGCTAGTTATGAATCAAGCAGTAAAAACTGAAGTAGTAGTCAAAAGGGGAATACACAGTAATGTTTGTGGATGGTGACGAGCGGATCCAAGGTAGGAAAAGCTCTTTTCCTGTTTGAGTCAACGCCCCCGAACCCGCGGCGGGATGAGGTCACTTGTGTTTTCAGGACAGCCATTTTCTTTTCTTTGGACGTTCAAATTGTATGGTGGCTTTACGGACACATGGGGGTGGTTCCTTTTTGTTCGATTCCCGAATTTGAAGAGATAATTGTTTAATTACAATGACGTGTGTTTTCTTAAATGAGCAGATAATCTTCAGGACACGCTGGTGTGGCGGTTCGCAGTGTGAGAGGGACTATTTGATCAAATCAACATCATGTTTACGTTTGCTGCTGGTTTGTTTAGTCTCGCGTTTGAATGGGCGAGCTAGCTTAGCCTTTATGTGGCTCTCAGCTGTGCCTGAGCATGCACATATTTTCGAAACCTCTGCACCAACAGTGTTTTGGGGGGGAGAAAAAAAAAAGTGCACCCACACTCGCCTGCAGCAGTCAGGCCTCGCCCGCCCCTCCTGTGCCGTCATTAAGCAGCCCGACATTCTTTCCCTTTCTGTCGCTCACGTGCGGTTTGGAGTTAAAAGCTTCCATTCATGAGCGCAAAGAAGCCAAAAAGCAGGATGCCCCCACCCTTTTGGTGCGCCGACCTGGTATCCACCTCGGTGTTTCACTTTTTGCCCAAAGATCAAAAATGAAAGAGGAACGTACGGTGCTTTCCAGGATTAATAATTACTCCCACTGATGTTCCGTTTCTGAAATGATATGTCCGCTATAAGGTTGCTATGAAAGATCTCCAAAGTTGTGTTTGCGAACGTGGTTACAGTTTTTTCGCAACTACATTGTGTAGGGAGTTAGATGTAAAAAAAAAAAAAAAAAAAAAAAAATTGTCATCTGGAAACGAGCACGCTTTGTTTACATCAGAGGAAGGTTTTCCAGGTGTGCATGGAAAATTATCCAGCGTTCCGCAGAACCTTAAAGTGGAACTGTACACCAAACAGTCGGAAAGTACGGCTTGTGATTTTGGTGCCCTTGAAAACCTTTTGACGATGGAAACGACACTTGCGACGCGACAAAAATAGGAACTTTCTTGGCGCCAGGTGTGATTTTGGAAGGCAGAGGGCGCTTTCTGGAGGTCGGGGGGAACGTGGCAATCTCGACCTCATACAAAAATCTGCAATGTGACAAACAGAAGAAAAAAAAATGAACATAAAAACCTCGACGTCAACTTTTTGGGCGGAATATCGCGGTAGCATGAAACAGCAAAGCCATGTTTTAAATGACTCATAATCCATCAAAGGTTTGGCAACACTCTGGAAGGGTAAAGCGAATTCTCCAGGTGTGCATACTCTCCCAAAGTCTCTGGCGAAACTGCGACTGTGGACATGTTGTGCGTGGAGGGGGGTGAGCACATGTGTGAACTTGCAGTGAGGTGAGCAGTTGGCAGCGTCGTCACTAACAACACAGAAAGCGAGCGAGTGAGTCATTGCGTCGGACGAGTGTTATGCCACTACTTATCACATTTACAAACGACACCATTTTGTGTTTGGATGAAAGATCCTAATAGTGGCGGTGTAGATAATGCGCTTTTTGTGCTTTTATTCCCCTATGTGCCCCTCTAGCACACTTTCAGGACGCGAGGGCCGAGGCAATGAGCGCTCCAACTGATTGCACGATGATTGCAGAGAGCACTCAGCGGGTCACCGTGACTGTTTGCAGCAAACAAGGCGGAGCCTCTGGTTGTACTTTTCCACTGATTTCCCACTTTTGCCTGACAACGACGAAGACTTCGTTTGGATTGACCCATCGCCAGTCTCGAGTCTCAAGACGCTTCCGGTGTCAGAGTAGAGGAAGAGTGATGTCACTCACTCAAGCTGAGTACTGGCGACTCTCTCTTCCTGTTTTTGTCTCACTTGACTGACCTGCCCCTCAAAAATATGGCCGCAAAGTCCAGGCCTTGTCGGATTAAAACCCACCATAAAGTTGTCTGAGTATTTTGATTGTGACATCAGTGCAACACGACAGCATGGAATTCACCAAGCAAACAATAGAACACCGCCATGGTCAAAGTCTCTGTATGAATACTGATGTTATTAGCTTTCAAGAGACACAAATAGTCGAGCTCCCTTTCTAAATCCGCCCTTGAGATATTGACTGCACTCGGTTATTTCAATGTAGGACTCCCAAAAATGGTACAATAAGGATCAGAGATGTCGGTAGCCTTTACGTTTCACTTGACGGAACAAGAAAGTTAAGATGTGTTAACTTCTTTTCACACTTTCTATGACAGTGAAGAGTGGTGAAACATTGGCTTTGATGGTGACAGTGAGAGCTAGTAACATGATATTTCTATGGGACACTTTTTTTTTTTTTTTGGTTTCCAAACCCAAACAAATTGGGAGATCAACCAGCTTTCGCGGCGCTTTGGACACCGTCCAAACTCAACTGTTTCGCTCATTCCGTGCAAAACAAAGACAGTTGGCACGATTCTCCGACAGTTGCGCTAACCGACGGCCTCCCAACGCAGCACAGCTTCACGCTCTGTGGTTATGTTTATTTCCAGAGCGGGTGACGTATGCGCGACACTCCTCCTATACGTGGCTCGTCAGACACTGGGGGGTGGCTGCCATTGGTGAACTGTTGTTGCTGTAGCAGCTTGTGCCGTCGCCTCTGGGAGGGAGGGAGGGAGAGAGAGAGGAAGGGGGGGGGCTGTATAAAACCTCTCTACCCCATTAGAGGAGCTTCACTTTGGAGGAGGGCAGTGGAAAGGGTGGACTGGTAGAGCACGGAAGGATCCCATCTGAAGACCTCCCCCTTTTGCGTGGTATTTACCAACAACAGGCTTCTGTCCATCAACTGTGTCAAGCGGATCTCCGCGAGGAAAACAAGCCGCCTGCCGCGAAACGCTGAGCCCTCGATGAGCACAGGAACCAGCGCACTTCGATCTGGGTTCAAAGTGGAGAAAAAGACGCACCGACGAGCGCGCAGTGACCAGAAAAAAGCGCACACAGGCCGTGGCCGTTGCCTTCCTCAATGCATACCCTTTGTGCCCGGGGAACCATGAAACCAGAGATCAACGCCGCCGTGGGATTTTTGTCGAGATTTCTGCGGGTAAAAGGACACGTAAACGATCGGCAAGTCCAAACGTTCAGCCAGAGTCTACAGGACATTTTGTCGGGTGAGCAAAAACCCTTCTTTTGTTTCAGGTCACGGTCAACAAGCCACACGACGTGTCGCGGCCTCTCACCAAATGCGAGTTTTATTTTCGTTCGGCGCTAAAACGGGCTCCGAATTCAGCTCGTAGTCGGACCGTGAGGGAGTCAGAAGAAGCCTTCTTTGTTCTCGCTGAGTCTCACTATCAGCGCCACCAACGCACACAGCTTTGCGCACGCAGGCGACAAATGGGGGGGGGGGGGTAAGATGCCTGACCAAATGGCACAATTTCGACGATTTACACAACACAATCGAATGTTGTGCTGTCAAGAACCCACACGGAAAGCTTATAACCGAGCTACTTTGTTAGTAGGGAGAAAAAAAAAGTGAGGGAGGGGGTGGAGGACAAGGAAGTGCGCCGAGCGCGACAGCAACACTGAGACGCTGCAAAATTACGTAATGCAAAGTAGTTATAATTAAACAATTAAACACTTAAAGAAAAAAAATCTTGTCATTATCGAGGAATTTTAATCGCCATCGGTACGACCGCAATTTCACGTCTTTCTGCATGTCCCAACGTGAGGTGTTTCACGAATAATCAATGTTTATTATTCGATGTTTTATCGTTTAACGTGACAAAGCATAGCTAAAACCGTAAATAGAGTTTTATTCTCTTTCGATGACGTCATCGCGTACATGGACATCCATGTAAGCAGAATTAGAGTCATGAGTCCTACTTTAGGGAATTAAGGTCTTTTTTTTTCGCCCCCGCTAACCCTGCTGTAAATCTGCCATACATCTGCTTGACTCCACGTATGGAGCAGCAGATCAAATGATGACCCACATTTTGACCGTAGGGGCCTCCCGCCTATCCGGCAGTAAAATATCAGACGGGACGCCTTAACTCCTTCGAAACGGGCAAAAGCGACAAAGTGTACTACTTTGCATAATGTGTGTGCGTGCGTGTCCGCTGGAAAGTCGATTTTGTCTTCACAGATAACGTAGTAAGCGAGGTATTAGTCGGGTTTTGTCGGTGGAAAAAAAAAAAAAAAAACAACAGTTGGGGGTTTGGCTTGTAAACACAAAAGTTTTCAGCAAAATGGTTCCTGCCTCGGTGGGGGAGGAGGGTGTTTTGATGGAGCCTATAGCGGGACATTAAAGACGGGGGCGGACACGACGTCATCGGTGAGGAGGAGGAGGAGGGGCGGTAAACTGAAAATAGACTCAACATGTACGGGAATTGACTTTTTTTTTTTTTTTAATATATACCGTATAGAAAACAGTTTTCTGTCTTGCGCAAAAGAGGCGATAACCACATTGTTGATCGACCTTTGCTCCAGGCCCGAAAAAAACTCCGCAGCATTTCTGCTGCGAATAAATAAGCGTCTTTTGTTAAAGTCGTCAGGTTATGCGACTCGTCCGCATTCCAGTTCCCATCCCCCACCCCCAGTGCCCTGGTTTTTAAGAACAGGCTGCGTCGAGCTGATCCCGATCCCAGTTGCTCCAGGGGGGTTTGGAAGTGGATGTCTTTTGTGGCTCGGCCCGACAGATCAGCCAGTGCTTTTCCATTAGACTGTACAGGCACAAGGGGGCGGGGGGGTTTATTATCCCTGTTGTTGAATACAGGTGCTCCGTACACTAGCCTACTTTAATTCTTTGGGTACAATGGCGTCTGTTCAATATGGATGAGCTCTATCCAAGTCGACGGGAGGGGCGTTTTGTGTTCGGTAAATAAAAAGCTCCAAAATAAAAGAGGCCTGAATGTGTCCAGACCTCATTGCCGTCGAGAAATGGAAGGTTGTGTATGACAGTCAACGCTTTCATGTGGAAGGGGAAATGAAAGTGATGGTGCCACTCCTTACTCTGGAAAAAAAAATATAAAAAACTTCTACAAAAACAGGATCCTGTCCCTTTAAGAGGGGGCGGATCCACGCCTCCCAGATGGCTGGCTGAGACTTGGGACTTTCATGTTTTTGTTCAGCCAGTCATGGGAGACTGTGACACTGACGGCAGCCGGGGAGGGATTGTGCAATTCAATGAGTCTCTTTTTTTGTCACGTACGCACAGGCCGCTTTTGGCCGCCTGTTTTATGGCCGCTTATCAGGACCAGAGCAGGTGGTGCTGCTTTTCTTCGCTTGCCTGTGCTGCTGCGCCCTGACAATAACTGCACTTAGCCAGATCCAGACGCAATAGCCACAACAAAAGTCCCTATCGGAGACAGAGTATCAAACTCTCAAGTACAGTCATAGAAATTCAATCTCATCAATTATTTGTACTGTATATCAGAGGTATATGAGCTTGCGAGAAGACTTGCTCCTGAAGCATGATTGACCAATTTTGCGGACCTCAATCCAGTCGTGTTTATCTTTTGCGTGACTTTCTGCAGCACCCCATCGAGTCATAGTATCCGCATTAAAGTCAACCGCAACCTGACAGCTGTATTCAACCTGTATCCTCCTCTTCTTTGTGTCCCGGCAGAACAATACAAGCACCACTGGTTCCCGGACAGGCCCTGCAAAGGTTCAGGGTACCGCTGCATCCGCATCAACCACAAGATGGACCCTCTGGTGGGGCAGGCGGGCCAGCGTATCGGCTTGACCATCCAGCAACTCTACCTGCTGCTCCCCAGCGAGCTCACGCTATGGGTGGACCCCTTTGAGGTGTCCTACCGTATCGGCGAGGACGGCTCCATCTGCGTCCTGTACGAGTCGCAACCCATGCCGGCGGTCATGCCGGGAACGGCGGTCGCCAGCTCGCCCTCGGGGAGCGGCGGCTCGGGGAGCCCGATGGTGGACAGTCACATCAGTTGCAAGGAGGAACTGATGGTGCTGGGCAGAGCCAGTCCCTCCAAAGCCTACAACATGATGACGGTGTCCAGTTAAATGGTGCGCACTTTCGGCCTACTAGTCGTTCAGGGTCACACCTTGGCCAGTCGAGATGAATTTGACCGGATCGAGGCGAGCCTTTTTAAAAGCTAAGAATATGAAACGAAATAGTGAAAGAGGAAAAAAAAAAAATTAAAGAAAAAAAAAAAAACAAGAGGACGTGCCCTATCATCCAAGTAATGGAAACCTTCTAAGTTTGATA